TTGATAAAATTTTAGGACACCGCTTAACATGGTAGGTACCGCTTAAAAGAGGCCAAAATTTTAAGCGTTGGAAAGATTGATTATAGATTATCGCAGAACACGGTAAGTGGTTGGGTTTAAAAAATAAATTTCTAATGACTACTCTACCCTCGTATAATCATATATATTTAGTTGATTGTTGTTGTTAATGAAATTGAATTACATGGAACAAATTCCAAAAAAATAAAAAAACATAATTCTACCTAATATATTTTAAACTATTACCATTCATATTGATTCACTATGTATAGAAAATAATTATTTATATAAGAATTTTATTCAATTTCACTTACTTTCTTTAATATTGTTAACACTATTTTTATACCCTACATAAATATTATGTAATTATTTATATTTTAAACTATTACCATTCATATTCATATTGATTCACGGTATATGAAAAATAATTATTTATATAATAAAATTCTATTCAATTTCACGTATTTTGTTTAATATTGTTAACACCATTTTTATACCCTACATAAATATTATGTAATTATTTATATAATAGAATTTTATTCTCAGAGTAGAATTGTGTTTCAAATATAACCGAATTACTTTCTTTAGTAATAATATTTTTGAATATTTATTTATCATGCAGAAAAAAAATATTTACTTATTATATATTTTATTAACCATTTTAAACATATTGCATTATAGATAAATATTATTTGTGTGATGTTGCATACACACACACCCGAAGATTTATAGTACGTTATCGTAATGTACGATATTGGTTAGCCGACTTTCGAAATGGTGGTCGTCCTAGAACAAAAGAAGAGCTATTTAACCATGCACATGCCAAGCTAAGGAATGTGATTGAACGAACATTTGGAATATTAAAGGCCCATTTTCCAATCTTGAATTTATATTTTTTTATGATTATATTTGACATTAATATTCATAGTTAAATTGATATATTTCATTGAGTGAATGTGGTTGTTTTATTAATATTTTTGTATTATAAATATAAAATTGTTATGAGTATCAGATATTAAGGGCAAAAATGTAATGTGGGCAAAAATGTAATGTGTACAACTTTCAGACTTCAGTTTTTGTATATAACAAATAATCTTAATGAATTCAGCGCTTAAAATTAAAACGTTATCAAACAGATTTTCAAATTAATATATTCAGTGCTTAAAGTTTCAGCGCTTAAAATTCAGTACTTGAAATTTTCAGTACTTAATTTTCAGTTTTATCAAACAGCACCTAAGATATGTTGCTCTTAATTAATTTTCAAAATTCTTTAAACTCCAAGAGAGAATGGTGGCATTATTTTCAGACCATACAGGACTTATGCATCAGGCCCAACGACCGGTCCATATTTGGTGGGCTTCGAGAAGCAGAGTGGGCCCATGATAAACGCCACGCACGCCCACACGCATTAAACACTTATGCTAGTGGTAGCCAGACAGCTCATATCCTGGTTCTTGGCATTCAAACCATTTCAATGAGTCCATCCATTCCTTCTTTTCCCGTGAGAGAGATTTGGTGAGTTGAGTAAATAATTTCTTATTACACAAGACTATAAAAGTCCTTTTTTTTCTTTTATTATTTTCAGTAAAGGGTTATTTTCAGCCTTGAAAAGTACTCAGAACACATATCAAATCACATAATCTAACAAAAAAAATAAATTATATGTCATATCCAATACATGTCGATGAACCATGATCCAATTTATTAAACTTTTATTGTTGGACCAACAAGAATTTGAATTTATTAAACTTTTAACGTTAACCCTAACAAGAATTTGAATTTGTGTAAGAACAATGATGAATTCCAATGTAGAAAGAAAATAATTACTTATTTTTTTCTGACCATGACCTTCATGTTCTATTTTTACTTGATGATCCTTTTGCATAAAGGTAACAGAAACCACATGGTAGGTCCTCTTTTAAAACAACGCCTTTGACATGCAGCAAGCATTTTAAGCATTTATTACGTCAATGAGTAGATTCACATATTAGATGGTGGGACTGTGTGTGGTTTAAAACTCTAATAAATAGACGTTTTTGGTGAGATATGTATGACCTATGACAGATTTGGATGACAGAGATGATAACTACGACTAATATGGGAAACATGGAAATTAAATTTTCTTGATTAACGTGTTGTAATAATAAGTAGATGCTCTTTTTCTTTGGATGTTTATGAGCAGATCCTTTTTTCCCTGATAAACCACCACCCAATATATCAACAAATAGAAAAACTAAATTAACGAAGCAATTTTTAGATACTTTTACATGATGTTAGAATGATAATAGAAAGATAAAAAAATCATTAATCACACTAATAAAGGAAGGTGATATCCACACTTTGATAAATACAATTTATTTTTTTTATTTTTATTTTTCTTAATTTAAATGACAAAAATACCCTAATTTTTTCTTAATTTTCTTTACTCGTGTCCATTTGTTTTGCTCGATCCCTAAAACTAGTAAAACTAGTTAAAGAGCTCAGCAAATTAGAAAATATTTGTGTGTTTTGAAAACAAATTCCAACTTCTTTACCGAAAAAACAAAAATCCAACTTTTGTTCTTCCTCCTCAATAACAAAACCATTACACAGTACAAAATTCCCGTGAACCCCTTCCACTAAGAGTGCTGATATAATGAATTAGTACTCGCTCAAACTACTTCTAGGTTATGTAAATAGATTATAGAAGCACAGCTCAAACTTACTTCTAGGTTATGTCAATTAGTACTCGCTAAACGATTTAAATTGAGCAAACTTGAACATGACAACTAGGAATGAATAAGTAAACAGAACTCTGAGTCTCCAAACCCGAACGCTACACTAGTTTTTAAATGGGTTAATCGGGTGACATTATTACAACGATTAAAATCAACCACCCGAGTCATGTTGATGAGCCGTGAACACTATTGCCACCCCTAGTAGCAACAATCCATGGCGAACTTCTATTATTTAGGGTGTTCAAATGTTTACTCTGAAGCATTATCAAAGCTTTTTCCTCAAACACATGGCTTCCGCCATTGCTACATTCTCAACACATGGGAAGTAGAACAATGCCAAAATCAACACAGCACTGTCACTTTCCCTTGCAGTCTACACAATCCCAGCATCAAATTTTACTTTAAAGATGAATTAGTTTACACAAACTTGAGAACTAAGGGTCTCAAATGGCAATTGCTAGTGATCACTACTACAACATTGTGCCTACAATGTGGGAGAAGAAGGCAATAATTGTTTGGTAGAATTTTGTTAACCAAGTGTCCCTACTCTTTGCCGAACCTAGGTATGTAACCATCTCTAATCCCATCACACCTTTTAGTGAGGGTCAACAGCCTACAACATGCAAAGACAAGCCATATCAGAAGTGTACTTAATTCCCATATAAATTTGATGAACGACAATGATATGTTGACACTCACCAACCGAAATGAACAATAACAGACTACACCAACAAACACAAACGATATTTAAATGACTGATTATCAAAACCAGATCGAAAATATATTACCTGCCTAACTGTGAAAAATAAAGAACAAATTGACTTAAAGTCCATCCAAATAAATCCAACTGTGAAAAATAAAGAACAAATTGAATTAAAGTCCATCCAAATAAATCCAAGGATGGATCAGTAATCTATTGTTAATTTTCATTATCTTGTTCTTTGGAAGTTAGGAGCTAATTAAATAACATGTTAGCCTAAACAGTCTGCCCTCTAGCTAAGTAAACAGAATACTTTTGAGTCCCACTTCCATACTTCTAGTGAAATAGTGAAACGAACAAGACGAGAGAATCACATGATTGAAAAATTAAAAAGAATATTACGTGTATAGAGGAGGAAACTGGGAAGGGTTATGGTGTACACAATATGACCAAGGGAAATGAATATGAAAAGGAAAGCAAAAAAGTAAGCAACATCAATAGTTCTTGGCGAATTTTCATGCCCTCTAACAGGTCTCACTAATGCATTCAAGTGCCCAGAAGAACCTTCTAGGTGCCATTAAATATTGTCAGTAAAAACTCTTCTTCTATACCTACTGCTCTGTGTGCAACTGTGTGATCACGTGTGGTCGTGGGCATGTGTGTGTCAATCCCCATCAACTCCTCCTCCATTTCTCGCCCAACAAGCAAGTCAACGAGTCCAACAGTCGTGTGGCTAATCTTAATTCCTCTATTTTGCTATATCATTGGCTAGCCCAGTGCACGATGCTCCCACCATTGCGGAGTCTATTTGCCATATATCATTATGAATAAAAAATCACTATAACACCAAGGACTGTGAACTGATATCTAGAGGAAGTTCTCTGGACCTCAAATTGAGAGGTCCAAGTATTGGAGGCAGTCAAGGTAGAAGGTGCGTCATTAACTGTGATGTCAAAATGTCAATAAAGGCACACCGAAGTAAGAAAAGAGTATCAGTTATTTGATCTGAGCAGGGTTACATATCAATATATCATAATCCTCATCGATTTGGATTGTATTCATATGAAGCTGAATTTCAATATTTGCTATTCACATGGGGAATCTGTAATGAAAACTACCATGCCCAGTAGCACATACCCACCTAACAAGCATGACTCATACGGTTCTATTCCTAAAAGGAACATACCTCTAAAGTGACACAAATGAGGCCAGATACTAGCAGTTCTAGCATCTAGCAAGCACTATATTTCAAGCAATACACTCTCTGCAGAGTAGTGAAGAGAACAGGAACAAATAGGATTCTGTAGGATTTCATTATATAAGCACTAAGAAATTAGAGAAATGCTTAATGTTTGTGTCAAAACAGCATTTCAAGGGGTCCAAGAAAACCAGATGGCATTTTCAGGAATGAAGAATGTGCAAAAGAAGCAGCAAACCCCAAACCAGTTAATGCGTACGCAGCTCTAATGCATGTGCTTTCAGTAAAGAACAACACTACAAGTCTACAATATCAAATGGCTCAGAATTATCCACATCCAGCCACAGAAACACCTTGCGAAAGAATATTCCAAAGAAGACAAATTTCAACATCATAGAACAGATTACATAATTTGGTGGCTAATAATCATTTAATGGTTTCATAAGAAAACAATAATTTTGACATGGACAATAATGGAAACAAAGTAAGACGTAAGAATATAAATAAAAATAAGTACTACTAAAGGTGATTGGTAAATTGTCCAAATCTACTTCCATATCTCATGATCATTTGTAAAATTCAAAGTCAGTGTCAGGCTTCTTTACGTTGGCTCTGTAACCCTTCTCAAAGTCCTTAGGAAGTATGACATACCGGTTCTTACGGACGGCATGCATCCCTGCTTCTTGACAAATAGCAGCAATCTGCATAAATCGATCTAATTATAATAGTTTCCAGAAAAATGACTTGTTTAAGTATTTTCAGAATGATGCTTAAAATATTACTCACTAGAGACAAAGAACCAATCTTGACAATGAGTATTGAAATACGGCAATTTAAAGTAAAGCTGTCTTTCTCTCCAACTAAAAACTGCAAAGACGAACTCAACTAACCTCAGCAGCACTAATTTTATCTGGCCGAGAAACATAATCCTCCAAGTCAACCTCATTGCTTAAGTTCATTTTGGAAGTGCACACCTGCACAAAAACAAAAAGTTTAAGAGAGGGAGAGAGAGAGAGACCACAAAAGTCAAAGCCGCAGGATCTTTGTTGAAAAAGAAATGTATAATTAAAAAATTCAGGTAAACGGTAACCTTGTTAAGCAAATCCCAATCACCACTATTTCACCTTTTTTTCTATCCTTTTGTTAGGGGAGAGAGGGGAAAGGGTGTGGGGGATGGTGGGGCAAGTGAGAATGAGAAATACTAAGTATAAGCACATCAATAAGATACCAATTATGAATGTGGACTCAAAAGTCAAGATTCACCTGAAAAACAAGTCTCTTTTGTCGTCTGTCGGGCAAAGGAAACTCTATCTTTCGATCAAGCCTTCCAGGACGCAGAAGTGCAGGGTCCAAAGTGTCAGCTCGATTAGTTGCCATTATAACTTTAACATTCACTGTCTGGTCAAATCCATCCATCTGCAAAACAACACCCAAATCCATAACAGGTGTAACTTACAGATATAAAGAGCATCAAGACAAGGAAACATGCAGGTCATCAGAATCTCAGCATGTCAACACACACATAAGCTCCCCCTTATCCTAGAATTATGATTTGCATGTCAAGCTATGGTAAAATTTTTTACTTGGGGCAGTTTTTAAAACTTAAATCTCTTTAAAACTCGTATCTTGTTCAACTACCTGGTTTAAAATTTCCATTAGGATTCGTTGAACTTCTCTATCGGCCCCCGTCTGAGCATCAAACCTAGCAGTAGCAATAGCATCTACCTCATCAATAAAGATTATTGCAGGCGCATTTTCTTTGGCAAGGCGAAAAACATCACGAACCATTCGTGGACCCTGCACCAAGTAATATAAAAACTTACATTTACCATAATATATAAAATACTGTTGACAACAAGTGACAACTCTACAATTTGGTCTAAAAAACTTATTTTCATATAAAAATGAAATATCATGGTAGATACAGTGTGAAAAATATAACAAAGAGTAGTAGATGGTACAGCCAGAAGAAGATATCTATCTAAGAGAATCTTGCAGGCATACCTCACCCAAATACTTCTGAACAAATTCGGAGCCAACAACTCTAATGAAAGCGGCAGTAGTATGATTAGCAACAGCTTTGGCAAGCATGGTTTTACCAGTGCCAGGAGGACCATAGAGCAACACACCACGCGGAGGATCTATACCAATCTGTTTGTACAACTCATGATGAGTCAGAGGCAACTCAACAGCTTCACGGATTTCCTGCTTTTGAATGTCACATCCTCCAATATCCTGATATAGATACAAAGCATTTCATGAATCTGATATTTGGAAGGAAGAAGTTGCCAGGATATATACAAAATGTTTCCAATGGTTTCTTGTGGCATAACTTAGTTCAAACCCCTATGAACTTTTGGGCAATCTGGCTCTCACACTAATCAGCAATGGGTAGAAAGTATAAATAGGGGAAAATCTGACAATAAGAAATTTACATCAATTACTGAGTATTCCATGCAATAAACATATCGTGTCAGGTATGATATGTAGCACTAAAATTCTGATCTGACTTCTAAGTATGGAACTTTGGGAACAGAGTTGAGTCAAAAATTCTAATTATTCAGTCAAGTCAGAATAAGATTCATGGAAGTACAATAAAACAGTTCATGCTAATAAAAGGAAGGAAATTTCCCGCAGGCAAGCCCGTGCTTAGTTGAGAGTATTTATTATTATGGAGTTGGAAAAGGGTGTTATCTGGATCCTTAATTGGGAGGGACTCAAACATAGACTAAAAATTTAAAATGTCACAACACCATAGCCAGCACTCATAAATGATTCCTCAAACACCACCACTGACGCTGCTGCTAATGCACCATGAGACCATCATGTCAACTAACACTAACAAAGCCACCAACCATCCCCGCAACAACAGCTGGACAACTGGTACTTCGACCAACAAGATCACATTACCTTGGCAAATCCTCCAGATTTCATCATAACCACTATACACTCCTTTTCCACTACGGGAGTGCATAATTCAACATCCTGCCAATTTAGGCAAGCCAACCACAGTATATAGTATCACTCTGCTAATCCAACCTGGCCAATTATGAACCTGTAAGGACAACATCAAGCCCAAGTGCAATATATTTGACTATTAAGAATAACAAAAGCAGCACTAATAAAGCATATATTATATGTAAAGTGTAACTATATACACGCATACGGAGCAAATACTGATCAAGGGAAATGTTCATCCCAGGTTTGCAATAGCAAGGAAGTTTAAGTTGCTAAGAGAATATTTGAAAAGGGAGGAACCAGGACGAGTTTGGCGGTTTAGGTATGCAAAATGCAAAGTTGTGGGGGATATTAGAGAGTCGAACACTAAGGAAGAGGCCAGCTGAGACAGTCCTTAAGAAGAGTGGAGAAATAAATTTGAGCTTGAGACTTGGGAGGAAAGCATTGTCAGAGGAAATTTGTTGCGGACAGCAGTCTAGAGTTTTACGGTTAAAAAAAGGATAAAAATACGAAATTACTTCCTCATGATGGCTAATATTCTTGGAAGATCCAAATATATGGGGATGAGGCTATTGATGGAAATGACCAAAGTGATATCGATAAAGATGACACGAAGATAGAGATCGTGCACGTTTACAAGAGCTCTGTACTACGATATTGTGGAGGGTTTGGATTTAGGATACAACTTGAATGAAGAGAATTAATAGTTGAAAGAAGGCGTTTTCAAGAGAATAAGATGGTGGAAGCTCGAGGAGCCTTATATTCCATTTAATACGAACAATGAAAACAAAAAAAATGGATGCAAGCGAATGTGGGAAGGATTGAAAAGGTATGCCTACCAGTGTTGTTAAAGGCGTGCCTAGGCTTGAGGCGCAGGTCTAGTTCCTGTTGTCATCCCATGCTCACTGATGTTTATTAGGCGCGCGCCTCGGTTGCGCCTCGTCCTATTTGTCTAGGCGCGCCTCGCTGTTTTTTGTTTTTTGTTTTTAAATGATTGTTCCATCTCTTAAGCCAAAAAGGGTACTTCTAGCAACTTAATAAACAAATAAGAAAGCCTAAACATATCAGAGAAGGATCTTTTGTTCCAAAGAATAAACAAATATGAAAGTCCAAGACCGAACATGGAAAGAGTGAGACCGTGAGAGCAACGACAAAGCCCTAGTGGCAGAGACGAATGACGAAGCCATGTCAGTTCTTTCTTCTCCTTCTTCTCTTTCTTCTCCTCTACTTCTCTCTCCTCTCTTCTCATCTTTGCTTACTTCTTTCTCTCCGTCTAGTTCTCCTCTCTGTCTTTTTTTTTTTTGGGCTCTATTTTTTTCTCCTCTTTCTTCCTTAACACTTTCTCTCTTTTCTCATCTACTTTTGTCTTCATCTACTTCTTTTGTCTCTGTCTCTTTTTTTTTTTGCTCTCTTTTTTTTTGTCTTTTCTTGTTAACAATTTTTTTTAATAGATTTATTTCTTTTTGTACTCTGTTTTGCCTTTCAAGAAAACAAATTTGTGCTATGTTTTATGGTTCTTGAATGGTTATATAGTTGATGGATTTACTTTTTCATATTTGACATTAATTTTTAGAATATTGATAGGACTTGTGAGATATGAATGCTATTATGGTAGTTTAAAATTTTAATTGTGCGCCTCACTTCATTCAGGTGCGCGCCTCACCGTGTGCCTCGCACATAGGGTCCAAAGGACCTCTAGCGCCTTGAGCCTTTAATAACACTAATGCCTACAGGATTTTCTGCGTGTTATTTGTTAAGAGGGAAGGTAGTGTGCAAAGAGTCTAATAATTTCACCGTTTGAAAGGTGAACCCTCCTCGCTCTCGCTCTCCCTCTCCCTCTCCCCTCTACCAAATGGGGAATCTCCTCCCTCCTTCCCCTTTCCCTGTCACTTTTTTCACAGCACTCTCCCACCAAACCAAACACATTTTTCAAAAGAGATGATGCTCCCATCAAGTGGCATGTCTATAGTGTGGTTAAAGGGAAACAATGCATCATATTACAAGTACAGGGACCATGTATTGCTTTGGTACCTAATAAGGGTGGGCGAAAAGGCTGTCCGGATACTCGTCGCTCCACCAGCTACAGTTTCTCGTTCAAGTGGGCGGAATACTTTCCTGTTAATTCTTCCTAGTCTGGATAACTGGAAGGCAGACGAAAGAGGTGACCATTTCATCTTATTTGACAACGGTGATGAAAAGAATGTTCAAAAAAGTATTCGATATTCATTTTTTTATCTAGATAGCTAATCCCTTATCCTTTCACTCTATTTTCTCTCATTTTTGAGAGGAAGCAACATTTCAAAGATAAAGAACCATCTCCACTTCCTCTTTTCCCCATTCCACCTCATCTTTCAAACCAAACATTTTAAGAAACAAAACCCACTATGCCCAGTTATAACTCAAATTCTTAACCACTTCATTGGACAACGGAGGAAATTAAATAACCAGTCAAGTTAACTCCCAAACACCATAAATATATATTTTCCTTCTTTTCCTTTCCTCTGTTTCCATTCCAACTTCCCTCAATCCAAACGGACCATAAAGAATTTCTCCTAAATTATAAGCAAATATATAATCACAATAATTCCCAATAAACCCCAAAAACCAATTTCACAGACAAAACTTATAAACCCTAATCAAACAATTCTTGAAATCAGTCAGAGCAACTTACATTATAGGTAACGTCAGGCTTCTCCGACTGACTCAACAGCGAAATACTCGAATCGGCCTCCGGCGGCAACACGTCGACGAGGGCATTCGAGTGCCGGTGCAGCGCCACCGACGCCGAGGGCTTCAAGAGCTCCCTATTTATAGTACTCAGAATCCTCACATAGTAATTCGAGCCCGTGGTTGACCCTACAATGCCGTAGTTCTGAGCAACCATCTCCAAGAACTGGCCGATCACGAGAGGCACAGATTGGATTCTCTTCACCTCTTCTTGGGCTCGGAGGGACTCGCGCTTCAGATTCTTCTGTTCGTCCTTTACGTACTCTTCTCTGATCTCTTTGTTCTCGCACTGGCGTTGCAGGGACTTGAGGCGACTGTAGAGATCGTCGTCGTCGAAGGAGGAGGGATACGGGTCGGGTAGGGTTGCCGGGAGGGAGTGTGATGGGTCCGATAAGGGTTTTGGGTCAAGAACCATCGCTGCCGCCATTGTTGTTGCTGTTTTTTGTTTTCTTGATCTGTATCCGATGTGAAGAGGAAGATGAAAGTGGAACTGGAGTGATACGCAAGAAAGTTCGTGTATGCGTGCGTGTGTGTGTGTATATATATATATATATATATTAGTGTTCAATAATAATGGCCTGCGGCTTTGGAATCAATTATTTTAGGATTTGGAAAAGGAAGCAGGAGGTATAGGAATTGGAATTAAAATGAAATTATATTTACATGTTTGGAACAAATTGGATTTAAAATAGAATTTTGAATAAAAATAATATAATATTATTTTTGTCTTTATTTAAATAATAAATAAAATATTTATTTTATTGTAAAATATACTCCAAAGTTACATCAAGAAGATAAACAAGGGAATGATTACGTTATGGAAATTTGAAACATAATAATTATTTATTATTTATATATATAAAAAAATAAATAAATAAATAAATAAAAAACAAGAATACAAGTATACAAAAATGTAAATTCTGCTCTATTCATGTAAGTTCTACTCCATTCATGTAAAAATGTAAATTTTGCTCCATTCAAGAATACAATAATACATTTTATTGCACATAAATGCTGCCAATTCTGAAGAATTGAATGATATGGCTCTTCGTTTAAATTTTTAAGTACACAAAATATAAAAGTAGTGGTGGATGCTAAAGTATTGGATTCCATGATTTTTGGTTATAAAGTTCTGTTCTATTCATGTAAAATTTTGAAGTACAAATATAAAAATGTAAATTTTTCAAAGTACAAAAATACAAAAGTGGTGGTAGATCAATTTATTAAATGCCGTGTAAGATATTGAAGTATACCAAACAAAATGGTGTGAATTATGGAGGATTGGAGCATGATTTTGGTTATACAAGATTTTTCAAATACAAGAATACGGTGGATCAATATGTTAAACACAGATTTTCAGTAATTTTGATCGATATCTTACCTCATAACTTTGAGATTTGAGGACAAATTTTTAAGTACACAAACGGTGGATACTAATGTTACGTTTGGTGTGCAGGAATTGAATGGAATGGAATACCCATTCCAACCATTCCTTTGTTTGATATGCAACTTAAAGTGGGAATGGCCATTCCATTGGAATGAAAATCCATTCTTGGGAATGAAAATCCATTCCACAACTAAACTTATGAAATGACCATTCCATTCCCAAGTAATTTATTTTAAAAAATCGACTTCCCAAAACACCCTCATATTCCAAATCTAAAAACCACCATTACCTTCCACCACAATTATCTCCGCCTTTCACCACCACCACCACTACCACTGCCTTCCACCACCACCAACTTTCACCATCGCCCGTCACTTTCCACTGCCACCACCGCCACCGCCTTTCACCACTGCTACTGCCACCGTTTACCACAACCACCGCCGCAGCCTTTCACCATTGCTACCGCCGCCACCACCACCACCACTTTTCACCATCACCACTGTCATTGCCTTTCACCACCTTCCACCACCACCGCCGCCGCTATCGCCTTTCACCACTGCCACCACCTTCCACTGTTGAGATTTTACCTATGGTAATTGTAACACCCCCACATTTTCCACGCATAAGTTGATCAGGCTTATACACGAAAAACGAGGGATATCAAAAACAATTGGCAATATACAAGCATGGAATACAAAATGATGATAATAAAAGAATTTAGACAGGAAAGAAACATTAAATAATACAACATCCATCCATCCTTTATTTAATACAGTACTTCATTACAACTTGGAAATCCTACGTCAGGGATCCCTAAATATAACCCTGAGAGTTCAACGTCAAAAGTAAATAAAAATTGAAACTGAAATACTACATAATACTTCTACCCTGCACTGGATCGTAGGAGTAGATGAGTTCGGATGATGGTCCCACACTGCTAACCTCAGCCTTGAAACGGATACTGACCGTATCCTGAAATAACAACAATGGTGGGTCAACCCCACGAGCAAGTCCTCTCTTCTATGACCCAAATCAGAGAATCAAATAAATTAATCATTATGAATCGGATGAGTACTATATCTGTATACATCCTATGGGAACTATCCAATGTATAACATGACCTCAACCAGAATAGACGGTGATCACTTAGACTCACACTAGGTGGTCAAGTGTCGCCTTTCCCTACCCGGGAAATCAGCTATTATACATGGTGCACGGTACAGACAACACAGACTATAACGAACTACACAGTGATAACACCTCGCAAAGTACTGATGAATATACTGAGCATATCAATTAGGCAACACATGCCAACAATATTAATAAATGTACCGACAATGTCAATTTAGGCAACACATGCCAATAATATTAATAAATATACCGAGTATGTCAATTAGGCAACACATGCCAATAATATTAAACCACATACCCCGACAGCCACACATCTGTCTATCGCAACGAATGCATAAGGTATAAATGAGTCTAAACTTATTAGTCAGCTCACATGGTTCTATATGGCAACACATCCATATAATATAAATGCGACATAATAAACAGTCCATTTATTCCCTGAAATGCACACAGCATAATAATCATGGTTTATATACGATTAACAGTATAAATATTCCATAATATATAATGGGTTATTTATATGAAGAAAACCAAGCACTAATTAATTTAACATTAATGGTTATTACAGTTTAATAAAATAATACCATTAATAGTCGTTAAATCAATTACATATGTTTACTAGCGATTCGCACTTTAACTGATACAATTAATATTTAGAAATATTAATCGGACATTTATAATAATTAACGAGAAATAAAATAATAATATAATGTCCCGTTAATTCCAAAAATGCCAACCCGAGGCCCCAAAATGTATAGTGAAGGTCCTGGTAATGACAAAACAGTCCCTAGGGGTATTCTGGACTTTTCCAGCAGCCGTAGAGGCCCTTCACGCGCCCCCACGCGCCTCCCAGAGTTCCCCACACGCGCCGCCAAGCTTTCCCACTCTCCCACGCGCCTCCACGCGCGTCTGGCGTCAGCCACGCGCGCACACGCGCTCCCACGCGCGTTTGGAGAGTCCCACGCGCGCGCACGCGCTGCCACGCGCGCGTTGATGGCTTCCTGCTGACGTGGCGTTCTCCGGTTGGTTGGCTGCATCATCCTTCCTACATGCGCGCCACACCGGATCATCTCACCCTATCTTCCCTCCATCCAACGCCCACAGATCCGGGTGTACCGCGGTATCATGGACCGCGATGCACCGGATCAATCAGACTCCACTAATGGCCAGGATGCGCGCGTACACCCTCCTATGGTGCGCCGCGTTGCACCGGATCACTCCGGTTGTCTCCCCCACTGCCGGCGACCGGAAAACTCGCCGGAAGGTCGCCGGAAATTGCAGAAAATGCCCGGAAAAATCTAGAAAATTCTAGAAAAATCCCTAAAGTCTTATTTAATTATTTTTAGCCATTATTAATTTCATAGGACATTAAATAAATATATACCATCCTATATAATTAAAATTCCATTAATTTGAATAAAATAAAATTAATAATTTATTAACCTCTAAACCTTGGCTCTATGCATAAAACTAAACCAAACAATTAATTTATTAATTCAAAGGGGAAAAGTAGATAATAACTTGCCTTTTTGGATTTAAAATAAATCCGCCGGTCTGCGCGTAGTCGGGTAAAATTGCCTACACCGGTCCAAGCTTCTTTCTCTTTCTCTTTTCCTTTCACTCTTATAAAATAGCTCTCTAGAATTTATACTTTGCTTCTAACTCCCTTTATTTTTTTTTTCTAAGGCAAGCTAGTTAATTTATATACAAAATATATAATATAAATATTACAAATATCTTATTTTTTCATCAACTAACCATCCTCCCAACCATATGGCTTCAATTCCAACCATAACCATTGATGCAATCCTATCCTAATCTCTAATTTCATCATGACAATGGTTTAATACTATTATTATTATTTATAACTATTATTATTATTTATTACTAATATTATTATTAATAAACTTTTATAATTATTATTATTATATTATTATTATTATTATTATTATTAAACTAATATAATTATTATTATTGTTTTTACAAAATAATATATTATATTATCATAATACTTTATAACACAAATATAATATTCTAATTAACTAATATTGCTTCATTAAACATAATTAACAAATAAACAATTAAATGAATAAATTTACTATTTCAACATACACATTTAATTTACATGCACCATTAAATGAACTTAATATAACAATGAAGCATGCACAATAATAGGTACAGGAATCCACACATAATTGAATTTAAATACACTGAACTATTTAATTAATTACGGGGTATTACATTCTCCCCCCCTAATAAAGGAATTTCGTCCCCGAAATTCACTACATACCTGTCTTAAAAAAGTTCTGGATACTTGGCACGGATAATATCGTCCCGTTCCCAAGTAGACTCTGTAGCACTATGATGACTCCACTGTACACGTACTAATGGAATAGTCTTCGTGCGCAGTATCTGATTCCTACGATCGAGAATACAGTAAGGTTGTTCCAAATAGGTTGCATCGGGTTGCAACTCAATCTCACCCACATCAATGTGTTGGTATCGATCTTCATCCCGTAGAAATTTTCGCAGCATAGATACATGAAAAACATTATGTACCCTATGAAGATTATCGGGTAGAGCCAGACGATAAGCTACTGCCCCAATCCGATCTGTAATCATAAAAGGACCCACAAAACGAGGCGATAACTTACCCTTTGACCCAAACCGCATTACTCCCTTCATGGGAGAAACCTTAAGCAAAACCTGATCAATCTTAATCATCTGACAGGTGCTACATTTAGAGACAAAGATAGCTATATCTCTTTTCATGCCGGCCCACCAAAACTGGCGTTTCATGTCCTGATACATCTTGTCTCCCCCTGGATGTACAGAGAACTGAGAAGTGTGTGTCTTTCTCATCACAACATTTCTCAAATTATCAGCTGAAGGCACAATTAAACGTCCCTTGTACCTCAATCCTCCATCAGTCCCTATAGAATAAAAAGGAACATCTCCGGAGGCTAACTCCGAAACCCGATCAATACACTGTTGATCTGAGAGTTGCGCTTGAATGACCTGATGAATGATAGAAGGAGTTA